AGCTTCTTCTAATTTATTGAGCCTTTCACATAACATCTTATCAAATCTTTGTAGAAACTAGGATAGAGAATTAGGGAGAAAGGATCAGACAGTAGACGCCTAATCCTGTGGTGGGTTTCATGCAGTACCTCAAACAAGATCCTATAGTGTGCTTGTTATTAGATCCTATAAGTATGTTGAAGTTTTTGTTATGGTAGAGATACTCTACGCAGTATGCACTAGGATGTAATATTATAGGTACCAAGTGGAGGAGAATTACTAACCATAGTCACCGGAGTCTAACAAACTCGTAGCATCCTTTTGTGCTGTTAGTAGTTGACATTAAAGAAAAGGTTTCACCCAGGAAAGGTAATCCCAACCGGCCAGGGATGTGAGGTTTGTTGGAGTAGACCCTTGTCGCACCTTTCAATAGAAAACATGTTAATCCAATCCAAATAACAGCAACCAGGATGATACCATAGTGGTTCTGTGCAAGTAGGACAAGCTCTTCCTTTGATAAACCTGACATCTTCAGCCTTCTTGATTAGAAGAAGGAAATGCTAGGGACCTGGCTTATGCTATGGAAGGTGCATCACATAAACAGACAGGGTTCTAGAGACACTGTTCAATAAAGAAGCATCTTGGAGAGGATGTTTAGACTTAACATGGAAAGATTCTCTATTATAAAAATGGGAATCCCTAAACGTTAGGCTTATTACCAATTCCACTAATAAAGTAGACTGGAAGATTAGCATAATATTATAACTATGATTTAGACTTATAGATAGTTTGAAATTTGAATAGGCCAAGCTGAACGAATGGTATATATAGTGATAGGATTCCTGCCACAAAATGTGTTATATGGCTATGCTGATATTTACAAATGTTGACTGCGCGCCAATATCTTGCTAATGGTTGCAACATTTTTTGCTCAAAGGAAAAATGGAGAGAAAAACAGAGAAAAATGAGCAGAACACTTGAAATTTCATTGATTTCAGCTTTTGTACAAAATAGACAAAAGATCACAGGGAAGAGAAAAGTAGTTTACCAACTACAAGTAGCTTAGTTTTAGCCTCCCAAAACTATTGTCAAATTTGATAGAAGGTTAACAAGAAGCTACCTAACCAAAGGTAAAATAACATCAAGATTCAGAAATCAAACTATTGCAGCTTGTGATGGCACAATACTTCAAAAACGACAAAAATTCTGAACCTCATTCAACAATGGTGACCCAGGTATTTTGGATTTGTGTCTTCAAGTAGTGTTTTTGTTTCCCAAAGAATAATAAATCTAATGGTTGAAAGTATTGGGTCTTCTATGAGGGGAAGAACCAGTAGCGTTAAGGATTTTGAAACTGAATACTCATCTGATTATTGAAAATGAATGTCAATATACACTTTACAAAGAGCGGTTCAGTTATAAGAAAGAGATTTGAATTGGAGTGATATGGTGTGTCATGATTGGTGCAGTAATGAAGCTTATGCTATGTGGTTAATTGCGGTGTCTTGTTAGAGAGCTCTAAATTTGTTGATAACTCAAGGGTTGGATAGAAGGAAATGTTGTTTTGTAAGTAAGGTAAGGGTTAAGTTTTTGGACCAGCCCCTAGAAAGATTATTTTTCAGTCGGTAAATTTTTGCAATACTAATGTATCATATGATTCATATCATCTGGTTAAAGATGAAGTAATCTATAGATACGTTCTAGACACCCTCATTGTCCAAAGAAAAAAGGCTAAATTTCTGCAACGGTAATGTACCATATTAATCTGGCTGGAGAGGAATTAGTCTGTGGATACATTAATTCCAAATACCTTCATTGTCCAAAAACAAAAAAATTTGTTGATGCCACAAAAAATAGGTGGTTTTTTTAAGTTCCATAGACCATTAATTTTTGCCCCTTTCTTCGACAATTGTGTGAAACACAAACACCCATTTCACTGTGAATATCCGTGTTGCAGAAAATAAAACACTCTCCAAGATCTGGATCGAACGTAAGGATTGGAGAAGAGAAGAGTTCATTCAAATCTCACTGACTGTAGATGAATATGGTGGTTTTGGTTGATCCGAAAGCCCGCCCTGCGCATGCATTTGCGTTCCTCTGCAGTCTTTAAATCCGCCGCCCTTCTGGAAGGTTCCAAGGACTCATCAACAGAGCATAATGGTCCATGCAACTAAAAAAGCGTCTATATTTCCTGAGGAATTGATAATGGAGTTGAGCCCGGATGGTCATCAGTGGATATCTAATGTCCTTTTTTTTTTTGGTGATGTCTTGTGTTCATTTAGATTTTGCAAATCTTTGTACCTTAAGTGTTAATTGTACCTCGGATCTATTTTATCGATCTTACTTTAAAAAAAAGATGATAGCGTAATTTATTTATTCAGTGTAATTTTTAACACAACATTAATTTTTTTTTTAAAAAAAAACTTTATCCATAATGCAATTACATAATACAATTACTCTATGGTTAAAAAGAACACATCTCAACTATCCATTTTTGTAAATATAAAATTTTATTTAATAATAAGTGTGTTTTTGTAAAATATTTTTATAATTTTTTCTATAATCGCCATAAATAAAAATGTAACAAATAAAATGGATTGGAAGAGTAATTAAGCCTCTAAGCAAGGATGAACTCATGGATCTTCATAATTGTTGGAACAAATTGTTTGAGATTTTAGTTAATTTACTATAAGATTAAGAAATTAATGAAATAAAAAATGCATCACCACAAGAAAGACAGACTTTACGTGGTTCAGCTCCAATTTAATTGAATTTATGTCCACAGACACTCACAAAGAAAAATTCACTATTAAAATAGGGAGATATAATTTGTGGTACTCTCAAAAAATTACTTAATCTCTAGTTACACCCAAATCTTATTCATAGTATTTTTGAATGCAAAATACAGTCAAAAATCACACTCAGCAAAGTAATTTTAACCACTCTGCTCTTACTCACCCTCACCCAAAGCACTCACAAAACTCTTGTATTTTCTAGAGCTCACTTTGCTTTAGATTGCTCTCTTGGTGTGATTTGCCGAATGGCCGAATGGCCTTTTATAGCCAAATGGTCTTTTATAGCCAAATGCCAACCACCCACAATGAATACAATGGGCTCCAAAGTCATAATCAAAACATGGACAATAAATGTTGCATGGACAAAGTTGCAACAACCAAATTTCCATTTCACAGACTGCCATGAGACTTCCAATTTTTCAACAAAATTGGGCTGCCATGAGATTTCCCATGCAACCAAATTTCAAAAGCTAAAATTTGCATGTTTTTTCAACCACCACGCAGAACCCACATGCTGCAACAATAATCTGTGTGCTAATTTGAAGAGAAAACAATGAACATAAAGGACAAAAAGGAAGGCAAATGAAGCTTCATCAAGAGTGTCCAAAGATTTCTGGTTTCTTACCCAAAATTCATTGGTTTTTAAAGGGTTGTGGAGTATTGGGATATCAAATTAGTATACGTTTGATCTTGATTCCATTCTCACTAGGGCTGGGCATTTTAAATCAAACCGATGGTTTACTCGAAAATTGAATCAAAAAAATGAATTTGGTTCGATTTCAATGGTTTTTAGTTTTTATTTTTTTGGTTTTAATATTAACCGAATATATTTTGGTTCAATTTCGGTTGAACCTCTCAAAAATTGAAAATCGAAAATAAGTCATCTAAAAACCGAAATTATGATAAATATGATAAAATATGTGATAAAATATAATATATTATTAGAAAAATAATTGATTATTATTTATTTATCAAAAACCGAAACCAAACTAATTTTAAACCAATTTATTAATAACCAAACTGATTAATTTTTGATAATTTTGGTTCAATTTTAGTTTTCAAAATTAGAAAAAAAAAATTAGTTATTTTAAAACCGATTTCAATTTTAACCGAAAACCGATTTTGCCCACCCCTAGTTCTTACAATATTTGGACATCTGATGGTGTTTTCGTTGAGGAATTGATATAATATTGAGTTTATATTAATTAAAGTTATTTCATTGATTTTGAGGTATTTGTCCCATCAAAGCTGCTTTCATTTTGATTCCATTCTCACTGCAGTTTTGGACACATCTGCTGTGGTTTCCGAAGTTGAGGATTGAAGGGTTTTTTTTCTTTTTTTTTTTTTAATCACATATTCATCTCGTAATTTTCACGATATCCTTAAAGCCAATTCCACATCACATACAAAAAACTTCTGTCAACTGAAACTCTTTAACTCAAAAATACAAAAAAGAAGAAGAAGAAGAAGAAGAAGTAATTATTAGAAATAGAAAAAGAAGGTTATAAAACCCTTGTTTTCCGTGCTATAGACGTGGGGAGCAAGGCAATGCAATGGAGATCAATCAATCCACCGTTTCAGGTCCCTGCGATGTCATCAGAAACTGATAGAAACCAAACTAGAAATGGAGATTAGAAGGGAAGAATTAGCCTCTATATTTAGATTGGTAGATGCGGAGGGGAAGGGGAGGAAAGGGAAAGGCAAATATTTTTTTTGGTGTGTTTATTTTTTTTCATTAATAAAAAGGAAGGGAGATAAGGGATGGTAGAGTCCTCTCAACTCTTTTGTTTTTCATCTTCCTAATTTAAAGGGATTATAAGAGATTCACTATACATATTTAACATTTTTAACATTTTTTAATTTTTAAAAAGTAAATATAAAAATATTTTATTACATTTATTTTTTTAATTAGTAAATTGTAAATATTTAATTTATTTCTTTAAAATTATTTAATTAAAAAAATATTATCATTTCTTCCCTTTTACTTTGATAGATACAAATAAGATTAATATTAATCATTTTTTTCCCTTCTCCCCTCTCGTCCCTTCCCTTTATTAATTTTTATCCAAATAAACCATCAGAGATTCAGGAAGAAATCAGAAAATAAACAGAGGAAGGAACTTCTCTCATGCCATTCTGGATTCTACAAGCAAACTCTGATTTGGTTTTTTATTTTCTTCTTGACATGCGCTTAGTAAGTTTCAAAAGAAGTGCCTCTTTGGAAAGTAGCTTTTAATCTGCTGTTTGTTTCTGCCACTTAAAATGAGGATGCCCTGTTAACAGGAAACTACTATTGTTTGTTGATACACTACATTCATTACTCTTAATTCACACTGCTGAGCTCAAGATTTTGCTAGCTTGACAGAATCATTCTTAGATTTCTGATGCATTTTTCTTTTCTGATCCATGCCTCTCAAGCACAGCAGGCCGAGTGAACTCCTTCACACTGGAAGATTCAAGCTTGCTGTTGTTAATGGCCTCCAATGTTATTGGACAGCCGCTTTTGAGTCGAGGCATATGCATTTTCTTTTCCAGGGAGGGATCTAAATCATCCACTGTCCACCTGCAGCATGTAGCAAATTAAAGTTAATGATTCTTTGATGTTCTTGAAAGAAACCTACAGATTCAGTTATGAAATATTTCATCTAATGGCTTAGTTTTGTTTTTAGACTCAAGAGATGTGAAGAAGAAAATGGACTCACTTGTATCCACTGGCCAGCCTGTGTAGAAAGGCGAGCATTGTCACTCTTGCCATATTTATTCCTAAGCATGTCCTTGGTCCCGACCCAAAAGGTATGAAACTATATGGTTTCTGCATTTCCTGTATGCATGAAATATGAACAACAGATACAAAATACGTTGTTAAGTTAATCTCTAATGCCTGATTCTAAATAATTCAATGGTTTGGCATATCATAATTTCATTACATCAAATCTTGAAGGATTGAATTGCTGAGGATTCTTGTACAAATCAGGATCATAGTGAATGCATGTTGCATCCACGTTTACATGCCATCCTTTCTTTATCTCAAAACCTGAAATTGGAAAAACTGAAACTTCCATGAGAAAGAAAAGGCAAAACAAAGACCTGTTTAATCATGACAAGCATTCACAAATGAAGAAAAGAGCTTCCTTTGCAGCTTCTGAGACTTGCCTTCAATTGTGCAGTCATTAAGTGCAACACGAGGATACCACAACAAGACATTTGACATTCTCAGTGTCTCTTTCATAACCTGGATGGTGCAAGAAGTAAAATGTCTAGTTTGATCTAAACATCATTTTTTTTTCTTTTTTTTTTTTTCTTTTTTCCCATGATGTTTCAGAGCCTCAAAATGCCCCTTTATAAGGAATAGAGTTTGGATTATATATACTGACCTTTAAGCCATAGGGCATCCTGTTGAGATCCTCAAGGGTAAGTGATGCTCCTTCTGGCTTATTTCTGGCTATTGAAATTTGTTCCTCCTGCAAATTTGTAGAGAAAATTGTCATTTTATCTCAGGAATATTTTTCTTCTTCCTAATTGCTGGCAATTGATTCTAGTTATTTGATTGTATGTTAATGTAATAATTTGGTGTTTTCTTCCAAACAATCCCTGGAATATATGTTGTGTATTTCCTCACCCTAAGCCTGTCCTGCGCTTCTTTGTTGTCATCCAAAAACTTTACACTCCACATCATTGCTGCTGAAGTGGTGATCTGTCCCGCTATTAGCAATACCACCAGGTTATCCATTAACTCTGAATCATCAAGCTTTTCATCTGGTGGATATGAATCTCTTTGCAGCATTGACTGCAGAAAGTCTTCAGAAGACTCCTTTCCAGTTCTCCGTCTTGCAATCATCTCTCTCAAGGTTTCCATCAGCCTTTGACGTGCCTGTATAAACCAATTCCATTTGTTGAAAATAAATATAACAAGCTGCTTACTGCATGACAGACAAATATTCAATTTCCAAGTGAGCTGATTTTTCTGTTTCGTTAGTCTGTCAGTCAATATTGGACATCTAATTTCTTGCTCATTCCTTGTACTCCCCTCGTCAGTGTTGTAAAGAGTTGTCTTACCTTTATGCCTTTGTAGTATCTGGTGCCAGGAATCATCACTGGAAAGGATAACATGGCGTTGGAGACATCTGTGCAGTCTTTTTCAATCTGTCGCAGCAAGGAATCCTCTGTAACACTTATCAGCATGTCGCACATGGCATCAAAGGTTACCTAGAAAACATTTTCAGAGAGGTTAGTTACTGGACTGAATGTAGTTAACATTTTTTTTCTCGAGATCGCTACTCTTTAACATTATTGCTGATATCAAATATCAGCGACATCATATTTTGAATGTAGATTCAGGTTGGTGAACTCAGTTCATACCTTCATGCTAAAGTGAAGCAGCTTAAAACTTTTCCCAGCTTCTTCTAATTTTTGGAGCCTTTGGCATAACATCTTGTCAAAATTTTTTAGAAACTTGGGTAAGGAATTCATGGAGAAAGGATCAGACAGAAGACGCCTAATCCTTTTATGGGTTTCATGTGGTACATTAAATAAGCTCTTCTCCCCAGTTGCATCTGCCATGGATTTCACAAATCCCATGTTGAAATTAACAAAGTCATTTGTAAAAATTGTTCTCGCACCATCAGTGCTTGGAATAAACACATGGATCTGGCCAAATATCCTTGTCTTGAACCACTTCCCATACCTGCTTTAATCAGAATGATTAGTTCAATATTCTTTTACACACCAGGGGAAAAGGACTCAAGCATGTGTCATATTGATATAGAACTTGGTATCAAAATTTTTATTAAATGAGTATTTTTGTTATTAATAGGCAGGTCAAATTCTGTCTACTGCAGATTGAATGTTACAAAGCATAGCACATCATAAGTAGAAGGAAAGAAATATTTAGGTTTTTGTTAAGATAAGAGATATTCTATGCAGTATATTCACTAGGAAGTTAATATTATTGGTACCAAGTGGAAGAGAATCACTAACCATAGTCGTCGGCGTCTAACAAACTCATAGCATCCTTTTGTGCTGTTAGTAGCTGACATTAAAGAAAAGGTTTCGCCCAGGAAAGGTAATCCCAAGCGGCCAGGGATGTGAGGTTTGTTGGAGGAGACCCTTCTTGGACCTTTCAATAGAAAACATGTTAATCCAATGCAAATCACAGCAATCAGGATGAGAACATAGTGGTTCTGTGCAAGTAGGAGAAGCTCTTCCTTTGATAAACCTGACATCTTCATCCTAAGTAAATGCTAAAGTCCTGGCTTATGCTTTTAAAGGTGCATTACGTAAATAAATAGACAGGGTTCTAAAGACACTGTCTGTTTAGACTTAACAAGAAAAGATGCTCTATTATGTAAAAAATGACAATCCCAAGGCATCTGTTTGTTTGCATATAAAAGCTTATTATCAATCCCACTAATAAAGTAGAAGATTAGCATAATACCTATTATAATTATGATGTAGACTTATAGTTTGAATAGGCCAAGCTGGACGCATGCTTACTATAGTGATAAAATTCCTGCCACAGAAGGTGTCGTATGGCTATTTTGATATTTGCAAATGTTGTGTGTACACTATCATCTTGTTAATGGTGACCCCAGCATTTTGGATTTTGCCTTCACGCAGAATTTTTGTTACCAACGAAGTGTTAGGTCTTCTATTAGTGGAAGAACCAATAGTGTTAAGGATTTAAGGATTCAGCACTTTTGCAAAGAGCAGTTTAGTTATAAGAAAGAGAGTTTGATTGGAAAGGTATAGTATGTCATGATTGCTGTAGCAGATTCTGTGGAGTGTGGTTGGAGAGGAGAGGCCCATCCACGTGGTATGTTGCAGAGTTGATCCCAGATTCATGAGTGGATATCTAATGTCCATATTTTTTTTATAGTGATGTCTTATTTTCATTTAGATCTTGCAAATATCTGTACTTTTCTATGAGTTTTTGGAATTTTTGACATAAAAAATTAGAATTGTCGCTGTTTCTCCGGACGCAGGAAACTGAAGCCACCAGATATTGGCTGGAGAGAAGTACCGACTCTCTGACTTCTTTTGGCAAAGGAATTAAGGTTTATGGGCTTTGTATCTGGGCTGAGACAATTATCAGGTCTGAATCTGAAGGGCAGCTGGACTCATAATGGGCTGGGTTCTAACAGACACTAGAAAAGTGATGAGGCCGAAGCCTAAAATTACATGAGGAGGAAGGTAACGTGAGTAGGTTGAAGGTCACTAACCACTATAAAGGTTTGTTTGACCTCTCACTTTCATGTTAATTCGATTAAACTTTTATTATTTTTTTAAATTGTAAATTTTATGTTTCCTTGGTTGAGAGTTGACAATGAAATTTAATAGAATTCTAACTTGTAATTTTATTATTGTATGAAAATTTATATTTTTTATTAGATTGAAAACACGTGTTTGTGAGTAAGAGAAAATAAATTCCTTGGTTTTTTTTCAAATCGAATAATAATTGGCCTTGAGATATCAAAGTCAAGGGACTCAATCAAATCAACTCCCAATTTGTCAATCATCCAATCAAATACCAGCCCCTGCCATAAAACAAACTTAACTTAAAATGTCTTGACTCTATTCCCCCCGGACCATACGACCCACATCAATTCATTTTCTAGCCTAATGTTGGGCCTCACCTTCGCCCCAAGGAAAACGCATTAGGACCATAGACCAAGACTAAACAAATCGAATTGGTCTTCTCCCCCTCTTTTTTCTTTAAGAAAAATGTTTTAGCCTTGCATTGCATTCCACATAGATATTGTTCTTAATTGCATTTGAGAGTGTTTTGTGGTCTATTATGTATGGACTGTAGTTCTTTTTTTATTTTTTTGAATAAATTCACAAAAAATTAAATTCGAACCGTTATCTTAAAATGAAAAAATGCACTTATGTTACTTGATGTCACTGGATCCAAAGGTCTAAGTGCAAACTCTAATCCTTTTAATCATTAATAAATATATATATATATATGCTCTCTTTTTTTTATTAATAGTCGCGAGAAATGTTGTTTGCATTTTTTTCCCGATTACATTTAATAAAATATGACTTCCTTTATTGCTTCACTAATACAAAATTAATTCACTACGACTTTTCCAATAAAATTTCAAAGTCGAGACAGACCCCCAGACGCGTCTGCCCAGGCAAGGAAACAGCCTTTCACCATGATTCTTTGAACTTGTAATCTTTTGTAAGTCAACACAACAGCCCTTCCGCACTAACAGTCCTTACTGGCTGATAACAAGCATAAAATTTCTTTGAATCATGCTAAACTTTAAATTTTTATTAAAATTGTTAGAAGAGAAAAGGAGAAATTAAAATGATTCGATATTACAAATATTAAAACGTCTAATAATAATTATATGATATATAAAATATGATATGTGTCTTAATTTTATTAAATTAATTATTTGATTATTATTAAATATTTTTGACACTTATAATATTAAGATGTTTTAATTTTTTATTTTCTCTAATTATAATATTTTCTCTATCTCTCAAAATTTTCCCTGGTTAAAAAAAAAAAACAAAAACAAAAAACAAATAAACAAACAAACACACAACAGCCCTTCCAATGCCCTATACTATCTAACATTTTTCCCTTCCATTTTTCACAGCAAAGCAGAAAAATCATCTCCAATCATGGAAACATCTTCTTCTGAATCCAGAATGGCCACTGCCAAGGCTATTGTCTCTGCCGCGGCTTCCGTCGCCGCCACTCTGATGGTGGCCCGATCAATAGCCAATGATTTCCTGCCGCATGAACTCCGAAGCTACTTCTTCTTCAACACTAGTAGATTCTTCAGCCGTTTCTCCTCCACTGTCACCATGGTCATCGAAGAATACGACGGGCTTGTCTATAACCAAATCTACGAGGCCGCAAAGATCTATTTAGGCACCAAAATATCTCCCTCCACCAGGAGGTTCAGAGTGAGCAAACCGGAGAAAGAAAAGAACTTTGTTGTCACCATGGAGAGTAACGAGGAGGTGGAGGACGTCTACTCCGGCGTCAAATTTAAGTGGATTTTTGTTTGCCAGCAGGTAGAGGATCGGAGCTTTAACAATCCTCGCGACATTGGTTCCACACTCAGATCCGAAGTCCGTTCCTTCGAGCTCTGTTTCCCCAACAAACACAAAGAAATGGTACTCAACTCTTACTTGCCATACATCGTCAAAGAAGCGAAATCCATGGTCCAAAAACAGAAGACCCTGAAAATCTTCACCGTCGAGTACGAGCGGATGTACTCTTGTATGTCCGACCTATGGAAATCGGTGAATCTGGATCACCCTGCAACCTTCGAAACTCTGGCGATGGAACCAGAACTGAAAAACACCATTTTGAAGGATCTGGACAGGTTCTTGAGGCGGAAGGATTATTACAGACAAGTGGGGAAAGCTTGGAAGAGAGGGTACTTGCTGTACGGTCCACCGGGGACGGGGAAATCGAGCTTGATTGCGGCCATGGCAAATTACTTGAATTTCGATGTTTATGACTTAGAGTTGAGTGAGCTACGCTGCAACTCGGACCTCAGGAAATTGCTGGTGGCGACGGCAAATCGGTCGATTCTGGTGGTGGAGGATATAGACTGTACTATCGAATTGGAAAATCGGGCGGCAGAGAACAGAACTGTCAATCGACATGGTTATTACGGTCGTCAAGAACAGGTGACCCTTGACTTTTCTATTTTTACTTTTTATTTTTGTTAGAAGGGAATTGGTTTTACTACTTAAATTATAATGAATTATAAAATAACAATTATTAAATAAAAAATTTTAATATCATAGGTTAAATTTTTATTTAATAATTAATATAACATAATTTAATATTATCTAAACTATATTATACATTTTCATATTTGAAAACTATTTACTACTACCCATATTCAACTTGAATTAGTCTATTTTGATGTTTGAGTATTTGGCTTTTTATATATTAATTTTAAATAAAAAAATTACACATAAAAATATGTAAATAATAATTCAAAGTTTTTTATATTAAGTTAAATAAAAATAATATAATTATAATATCATGTAATATTATAATTTTATAATTATAAAATTAAATTATTTAAAAAAGTTAATATAAAAAAAATTAAATATTATTTATATATTTTGTTAAATTTTTAACTTAAACTAATGTCAAAACTAGTAAAGTGGAAAATTAAAGTTGAATAGAAAATTAGAAAAAAAAAAGTTTTTTTATCTTTATACCAGAAAGGTTTATAATTTTGTTTTCTAAATCGTGTCAAATTGCTAAAATCAAAACCATATATCTAAAGAACTTGCCTTTTATGTTTATATTGTCCTTAACTGCATAATAAGTTTTTTTTATATTATACTAATATGTGGAGATTTTGAAAAATTATATGATTCGGAATTTGTTTTGCTACATAATGCTACAGGTGACCCTATCAGGATTGCTGAATTTCATAGACGGACTGTGGTCGAGCTGTGGGGACGAGAGGATCATCATCTTCACCACCAACCACAAAGAAAAACTGGATCCGGCACTGCTGCGTCCAGGGCGGATGGACGTGCACGTCCACATGTCCTATTGCACTCCATGTGGATTTAGAGCTCTGGCTGCCAATTACATGGGAATAGAAGACCACGAGCTCTTCGGAGAAATTGAGGAGGCAATCAGGACGACGGAGGTGACCCCAGCAGAGGTGGCGGAGCAGTTAATGAGAAACGATGATGATCTCGACGCCCTGCTTAGTGGCCTAATCCAATTTCTTAAGGTGAAGAAGAGGGAGAATGAGGAGGCAAAGGCCAAGAAGAATAGTGCACAACAAGAATCGACGGCTACTGAAGGAGGACAAACCGAGGAAGAAGAGAACGAAAGTAGAGAATCACTTTAGTATATGTCAGGATTAAATTAAGTGTACTGTTAAGGCCACAAACAAAATGATTAAGTGTACTGTTTTTAATTAAAGTTATTTTTCTGACATGTCAGTGTTTTGTTAAGATTAGTTAATGCAAGTTTTGTTTTCTTGGGTGAAATTGGTTAATGAAAATTGAAACTTGAAAACCTAAGATGCGAACCGAAGTAATAGAGTTAGTTAGACCCTCCACCCACCCCACCAGAGTTTTAGGTCTCCTTGTGCCCTTTTTCTCCTTTCCCATAT